TGACCAAATACTTATTTTCCACCATTATTTGCAAAAAAATTTCTTTAAAAGTCAGACAAAACGATTTTCTCAAAAAAATTTTCACATTTTGTCTCTCATAGTTGAGGTCTACCTATGTTGTCAATTACAGGCCTCTCTCATCTTTTTAAGTGGGAGAACTTGCACAATTGGTGACTGACTAAAWACTTATTTTCCCCACTGTATATATAACTGCCTGTTTACATCTTAATTAGGGATGCAAGTTATCGATTAATGGATTAATCTAAAGTTGATTGATCTTATCGATCGACTAACGATTAATTGATAAGTGGCCGTTTTCCTAAAAACCTGACATTTCTCTTGAATCAAGGGTCATTCTATGACTTGAAGGGCTAATTTTTTACACTAAATTTTAAAAAAGTACAGTTTTATAAAAAAAATTTGTGCCAGCTGTTTGAAACACTGACTGAATAAACAAAAATTGTTTTTAAAATATAACGAAACAGGAATCTATTAAGTTGCTAGTTGGAAAAAAAGGAAAGAAAAAAAGGTAAAACATTTAATCCACTCTGAACAGAGAAATGTAAAACTAACAATTAAACACAGAGTAACATTTTAATCTAAAGATTTACTCAAAAAACAAACTATAAACATGACCTGAGATGAGTAATCATACAAATGAGTGGAACTGTTTGTTTACATTCTCTGTGGTTCTATCTGTGCTGGACTGATCTGAGGTCAGTTACTGTTCATTTGATTTGTTCACTGGCCGGGTTACGTCACACAGATGAGATTAACTTATGTAAATTATTTGTAGTGATTCAATTATTTTGTTTTGTTTTGTTCTTTCACACAGAGTTAAATCAAAAGAAGATAACGTTAGCTAAAGTTAGCTTACCCCTGTCTCTGTCGTCCTGCTCTCTTGTTTTAAGTGTAAATTCTGCTGGATGGTCCGGTACAGCCTTCGGTACTTTTCCTTCCAGTTTGGTGTAGTCCATTATTAATGTTGTGTCACAAATAAAACTAAATAAGATTCGCACTTTTATTTACGACGCTGCTCTCTGCTCAGCTCAACAGAGAGTGGGCCAGGCTGAGAGAGCAGCGACGCCATCTACTGGCTGAAGGAAAACTACACTGAAATAATGTTTAAACTGATGTTTTCAATTAATCGAATGGAAAGAATTTTAATCTAATAAATCATTGTTCGACAATTAATCGTAAGTTGACTAATTGTTTGCATCCTAATCTTAATGTTAAAAACTCCTCACAAAAATAATCAATAATAATTGACCATTTGCTGATCTGATAAATCTTTATTAATAATAAGTGCTTACAACTCAGATCTCAGAGTTCTCAGTTTTAAAACCTTCTGGAGCTCTTCTGTGTGATGCTAGCTGTGACAGGAAGGGTGGATAGTTGTTTGTCTCTGTCTGTGTCCCTGTGATGGACTGGAGACCTGTCCACGTGTCCCCTGCTTTCACCCAAAGGCCCTGACTCTGATTAGGATCAAGGACAGAATAAAAAGAGGATTTATTTTTATAGCAGAAAACTGATTTTTAAACATAAAACAATATTTGTTTTTTGCTAATCTGAATCAGTAACGTTTGAAATTCAGTGTATTTCGTAAATTTATTTGACATTTTTGTAGAAATGAACACATTTGTAATATTCAAAATGCACTTTTTTTATTAAATAGCAACTAATATTTTTAAATAGACTATTATAAAATCTTCAAATCGCCCTCTTTGTACTCATTATCCTTGTAAAACTTCAGATGAACTCTAACCCTTGTAGAATATCAGTAATGTAATAATAATAATAAAAATAATAATAATAATAATAATAAACATTTTAAAAAATAAACTTTTTAGAGGTAAAGCTGTAATATCTTTGCCCTAAATGTTAGTGTTCTGGGGAGGGGAGGGCTAGTTGAGTGTTTTTCTGTTGGTCCAGTGAGTTGTGACTGCCCCTCATGTTTCTTTGAACTCTTAAAAAGTTTACAGATGATTGTGACTGTTGCTTTTTAGCTTTACTACTCAATGACAGTGAGTGCTATTTCTAGCACACACTCTGCAGGCAACATCTGCTCTGATTAAAGGAATGAAGTGTTACATACTTTACAAACAAACAAACAAACAAACATGATCCCCCTTTTTCTCCAAAATGGCGAAACACAGTGGCAGGTGCGTGACCTTTCCGGTGTAACAATCCAACAATTAGCGTCCAGACATCGGTTTCTTCCAAACAAACGTAAAGAAACGAAATCCCAGCTCAAAATCCGACGCTCCCTTCTGGGTCGATCAGTCCTGAGGTGAAGGCCCCCTTCTTGGAGTCTACCCACACCGGACTTTCTTTATCTACCAAAAATCCTCATTTATCTGCTGCAAGTTCTCACACACACATGATTTTCACCACTGATTTTCTCTGTCGCCGCCCAGGTGCATCACCAATCTCATTATAAGGTTTGGGTCGACTCCTCCCCTCCCACCGGTTAATCTCCCGCAGGTGCCATTAATTAATGATAAACAAAASAAAACAAAAGTGTAGGTAACAGAAGCTTAACCTGGTGGGGAGACATGTAAATCCTGGCTAACAAAGCGCTGTGGGAAACCCTGGCTTGTCTCACTTACTTTAAAACACACTGAGTTTAAATTGTTCTATATTCAAATGAAGCTGTCTGTTCACAATTCTTAGTTTGTTTGATGTTTTCTTTTTAATATTTTTTTTTTTGGTAGATAATAGTAAAGACAGCTGCTGCAACTGTCTCTGCTGTGTTTCTGCTTATGACTACAGCATTATCCTGGGTATACAGACGCAGCTGCAGGACTTCCGTTCGTTCTCCACAGGCTTGATGGCAGATTTGGAAATGAATGAGCAACACCAGAATAATGTAAACACGTTTTTCACCTGATTTGTGAAAAGGTCAAATCATTCTTTGTTTAAAATAATTTCAAACAGGCACTGCAACAACATACTATAGTTCCAATGTTTTGGATTGTTTTATGTGAAAGATTTATGTGAGTTTTGATGTCTTTTCTGCCCTCCTCAGGCTATGGACAGAATCCTTCACACTCTGCAGCTTCAGAGAGTCGAGCAGCAGCCAGGGGGCGTAACAAACGGCAAGGAGYCGATGGTCTCCAGGTGAGTCAGTTGTGATTTAAAGGGCCTGCGGAATCAAATTTTTGTTATGAATATGATTGTGTTTTTGTAAAGATAATATTGATAACATATTGCAAAAAGAAAACTGACGCCACTGAGATGAACAGTGTTTGAGATATTGGCATGTAAAGTAACAGGAAGTGATGTCAGAGGGGAATGTCTGAATGTAAACAGAGCATTGCTAAAATAACTAACAACGCAGACTGTAGAGAAGAATCTGATGTTTCTGTACATTATTTTGTCACTGTCAGAAGGTGAACAGAGTTCAAAAAATTATTGTTTTAATAAACGGAGATCAGACAGTTCTTTTTCTTAAAGAGTTCCCCTTTGATGTCACTTCCTGCTTCCTGAGCCAAGTTCAAAAGAAAATATGCCAATTGTGTGACCAAATGGGTATAATTGTGTGTTTTATACAAATTTCTTAAATATAAAGATGTTTTCTTTAACCTTTTGAATTAGAAGTGCACTTTAAAGTTAGGTTAATGGTGACAAAGATAACTGAGGGAGTTGTTCTGTTGCAGGATGCACCATTTGAGAGAGGAAATGGAGCTTTTGGTGCGAGAGTTACAGTGCAACAACAGCATTATTGAAAGGTCAGTTGAGCGAACAGCTTCCTGTCGGTACAAGTCGCTCACCTGAACGGTTACGATYACTGTGTTCCTCTGATCCTGCAGCCTTGGAGCTGTGAACCCTGCAGCAGCTCTGGAGCCGGGTTCAGACAGACCCTGCACTCTGTGACACAGATGTACCAAAATGGCGTTGGGGGTTCCTGGGACTGTCGGCCCGTTTTACCAGCCACAGACGAACAGTCTCCACGGGTGGATGTGCTGCTCTGTTATGCAAAGAGTTTAAAACCATTCTAATGTGAATCTCAAGTTGATGCGCAGAAACTGGGATAGGCCAGATGGATTTTCAGTGTGTGTGTGTGTGTGTGTATGTGTGGGTGTGTGCTGCTGACAGAACAACAACTCAATACAAACCTCATTAAAGCCTTTTGTGTTATTGTATTTTTAATAGACCTGCCATAGTTATGGATAGTGGATGAATCCGAACTGATGCCCAGTCAGCTGGACTGTTTCACTGGTTGCATTTCCTGTTTTTCCATACTGCCACCATGAGTGCATTTCCCTGAATGCTGGTGTTTGAGTGTTTTTACTCTTAACTCTGATTCTGATCTCATTATGGAGGCAGTATGACCAAAGGAATCTGTGTTTGTTTTCTTTACCTGTTAACGATTATTCAGAAAAATCCTGATTTCAAATGACTTGAGCTCATCATCTCAGCTGTGACTGTATCACCTACTGTGTTCACAAGATAAAATAAAGTGATGTTTTTAAAAAGGGATTGATTTTGTGAGATAAATCCAGCCCACAAAGGGTAAAGTGCAAATACTGTCAGCTGAGTCCGATAAGTAGACTTCGGGCCTGTCTCTAGACGTAAACAGGATCTGATCGAAGTTTCTGTTTTTTTTTCCCAAGTGGCTCCTTCAGTTTTAGAGTTTCTGATTAAACACTTTGAAGCTGCATTTGCATTCTGTTTTGACATTTCATTTAAATAACAAGTTCTGTTTCTTTTTCTTTGCCCTGTAATTTTTGCTTCCTCTTACAAGAGAATGACCACAACAAGGGAAACTACAGTCCACACTTCTCTCTGTTTTTTTCTTCTGTTTTGTTTTTCTGACAGTCACACATTTCAGCGACAATAAACCAATTTAACATGTAGAAATAATGACACTGTGTGGGGGAAGTCCGAGGCTTTATTTGKTTTTAATAAAAGGGTAGCCCAGTGCTACGCTGAATGAATGTTTTTGGTACTTTTTTTTCCCTTGTATTTTTTAAATTATTGCCCAACAATGTTATGGTTTTTTTTTTTTACTAGTGAGTAAATATAAAGGCTCAAATTACATAGCTCATTAGAGAACGAAACTAAAAGTTTGTGTTGGTGTGGGAGTGTTGTGGACTTTCTCAGAGTTTGGGGGTAGAGTCTAGCTCTGCTGTGGTTTGATGTGTTTTGGCAAAAGGGAAACTTCAATATCTTTTTCTAGCCCACACAAGTAAATCTGACATTGTAATGTTTAGGGCAGGGGTCTGCAACCATTATGATCAAAAGAGYCATTTCTACTACTTGACGCACTAATAAAATGTGTCCAGAGCCTCAAAACAAGCTACAACTGTGATTATCAACTGGTGGTCCGTGGGCCTTTTCGAGGCCTTTTCAGGAATCTTTACGGCCAGTGGAGGTGACATTATAAAACTAAAAAATATATTGTGAATTTTCTTATTTATTATTATTTTTACACATCAGGACAAATGAAAAGACMATATTYAKGTAAACAWAAAAAMTGTATATAGTTTATCCTGAATTTCATAAAAACTAGTACAACTGAACTGTTCAGGTATATATTTTTTCTAATTCTTTTTACTATGTAGTCATCAAATTCTTTAAAGGTAATTCTGATGGATTTGAGAGAAAGAAGTTGGATTATTTAAGTAAACAACAAAGCATGAGCTAACATGTTTGACTTTTTTATTAGTAGTATCGGTCACGTTTTTGCATACAAATTGATTTCTGTTGTGAGTATAAAAAAAATGATTTTGTTATGTTTGGTCACATTTTCAAAGAGCCACTGCAGAGGGTCCAAAGAGCCACACGTGACCCCAGAGCTGCAGGTTGCAGACCCCTGGTTTAAGGGGTTTTCTCAAGCAACATTAAATGCATGAAATGCATGTTTACTATCGTTTTCCTCTTCATCGTTTTTTTTTTTTTTTTTTTTTTTTTTTTTTTTTTACTTATTTGTGCCATTTTAACCGCACATAAATCAAAACCAGTTCATTGAGTATAGGAGATAGCTGCTATGACCTTTGGTTTTTTTTAGCTTGTATACTTTTCGAGATGTTTAATTTACAAATATTTTCACCATGGACATGCATTGAGATCTAATTCTAACATTACTCTCTTTGAAAACTGCTTCAGCATTTTTGCTCTGTTTTATCTTGTGCATTTTTTTGTTTCTTTTTTTTAAATTTTGATGCATTTTTTTATTTTTAGTGATCATTCTGTTATTTTTGCTAGCCTYATACTTTTAGCTAGTGTTTTGCTACYTTTATTTAGCATTCTTGCTACTTTTAGCATAGTGCCACGCTGTTTTTAACAGCTCAGTTTGCTTCTTCATTCAGACTGCATTTTCAGAGAAAATGCCATTTGTTTAGTTCTCATTTCATATTCCTGATACACCATAAACTAAAAGTGAAATGTTGATMATCTTTTGGTTTCCTTTAATCGAGCATTTTATGTTTGTTGGTTTGTTTTTAATGAGAGTCGAGTTTCTGTTATTTAATTGTACTATTTATTTGTATTAATAAAAATTCTAGTGTTTATATGGAGCAGCTTCAAAACGATTTGTAGAGGAAATGTCGTGCTGCAGTAAATAAACTCAGACTGCCAATAAGAGGCTTGTTTGAACTCAGCTGGTACGAGCGCGCGCCCCTGGGAGCGTGAGCGCGCTCGTGGCATTGGAGCTGTTGATCCTTTGCGTCACASCGCACGTTTGTCACTGGCGGGAGWGGAGTTTATATTCGAGGCACGGAGTGAGAAAACACACACCAACCTGCTACASGCACACACAGGCGTTAAAGGGCGACGCTACAATGGCGTCCGTGAGTGTGGTGGGCCAGCAGCCGGGTCGGCACAGGCTRGACTCGGAACCGCCGATGGTGCTCTTCAAACTCTCCGGCACTAAGACCAGAATCACCCTGCCGAGGAAGTCGTCCTGGGAGAAGATGATGTTCGCGAGGAGCTCCAGGAGCTGCGAGGACTTCGGCTCGGTCTCATCCGAGTCTCATCCGCTGTCTCCCGGACCGGCTGGAGGAACGGCGGTCGGWCGAGGGATGCCCGGTGAAGGATGCGGGGCCCCGTTTGATGCGCCACGTAGCCCGAAACAGGAGGACGGCTGCGGGGCTCTCACCGGGTCACTGCAGGGTCAAGCCGGGCACGTCTCCAGCGGCTGCAGCATCCTCCGGGAGGCAGAGCACAACGCCGGTAGCCGGCGGAGGAGCTCGCTGAACGAGTCCGGGGCAGATGCCGTGCCGAGCGGAAGTCGCAGAAGACTCCACCGGCACCGGGACACACGGCGCGCGAGGCGGAACCCTCGGAGCGGAGACGCCGGTCCTCAGGGCATCTCCTCCGCGGCGGTGCGAGCCCCGGCGGGGGAGAGCGACGGCCTGCCGCTGGAGCGGCTCACACAGGGCAGGACCGGGGTGGTGAAGCTGGCCCGCACCGAACCTCACCGCATCGAGGCCTGGTCCATCTTCCCCCAGGAGATGGACCCTCGGGTGAGGACGGAGAGGGGCGAGGGACACCGCTTCGAGACGCAGCCGGTCAACCAGGACTGGTGTGACGTCTGCAGCCGGGAGATCTCCGCGCAGGTTGTCAAGTGCCAGAGTAAGTCCGGAACAAGTCTGAGCAGGTTTTAGGTTGTTTTAGTGTTCCTGAACATGGCTGTTACACACACACACACACACACACACACACACACACACACACACACACACAC